GGGGTTAATCCCTTTGCTCTGAAAGGCTGGATAAAAGCAAGAGAGGATGGGTTCTTGCTTAATGAGGTCAGAGTGCAGGCCACAGCGTGTCCCCGAGGAGAGGGGCAGGCCGAGAAGGGCAAGCCGGAGCCCCGCGCTGTGAGCTGGAGAGCCTGGGAGCAGACGCGTGGGGGCTGGGCGCCCCACAAGCCTGGTCCTGCCATGGCTGCAAAGGCCTGGCTTTGCGGGGGTGGGGGCAGACAGGAGGCGAGGAGAATTCCTAAGAGTTTGATGTCAACCTAAGTCCTGTTTCATTTGTTTCTTTGGTTGTTTTTACCTTCCTTTGGTCTGGTTTGGGATCAGGTACCCAGAGTTCAAGTCTCCTCTCTGGCATTTGAAAATTGTGACCCCGCATAAGTCACTTCCCTCGCCTACCTCATCTTTTCCGTATTTGCTAGTGAAGAGACAGGATGGACCACATTAACAATACCTGAGCTTTTGGATTTCACTAAAATTTAAAATTATATTTTTAAAAACAACGCATTCAGGAAAGAGGGCCACCTCTTTATTTGTCCAAGTTTGGGCAAACATCCTTTATAATTACTATCACTTCCGTAAATAAAGGTGATTCTAAAACCAATAACTCTGGAAAAAGCATAGTCCCAAAAAGCAAACAAAAAAGAAGACCTTCCAAAGAAATAAAATCAGCAACCTTATACCAACCTCTACAAAATACCATAACATTTCTCATTTCTCAGTGACTTGCTGAGAAGATCATCAAGTGTTGACCTAATCGTCAGACCAGGAATTAATTGGGAGCATTTTGTGTGACTCCTGGGCTCCTCCCAGCTCCGGCACCTGCTAGTCTAGAATGCTTTCCTGTCCCTGACCAAGCGCTGCTACCAGGAAGAAGGACCGAAATTCTGGGAACTGACGCTTCCCTGCTTGGCTTCCTGTGTTTCTTTCTAGTGCTCAGCACAAACCTGGCTCCCGGCAGGTGAATTCCCCCTCCTGTGGCCTCCTCACACCCTCCTCTACTGCTGCCCAGCGCAGTGTTCTGGCTGGTTACATGCAGTGCACATATAACACGCAGCGTGTGTACACGGCGTGTGGCACCTGCGACTCGCTGGGTGTCCCGCCGGACCAGACACGAGGTGTATGAACAGGCATCTGGTCCTTGTTTTCCCTCCTCCCAGCCCCGATCTCAGCCCAGTTTTGTCACTTAGAATCATAAGGGTTCCCTTGACTCCCCCTCTTCCGCTCCCTCCATCCTCTCCGTCCTCCAGTCCTGTTCTCAATTCAAGAACATTCTTAAACCTGTCTTCCCCTTTCCACTTCTGTCGCTGCCTCTTAGGTCAGGTCCCCCGCCTGCATCTCACGCACCTCGCCCCTGCTCCTACCTCACCGTGTGCACCACAGCCAAACTCACCTCCAAAAACACCCTTTCAGTCACGTCCCTCCCTTGGCTCCTATTCGCTACGGGAAAATCACACTGTGTTTACACCTGGAAAGGGCGTTAGGGATTATCATGTTTTGCAGAGTAGAAAATCGGAACCCCAGAGAGGAGAAGCTTGTTGTCCAAAAGCACACGGTTATTGTTGTGAGAGCCAGGGCTTTCTAAATAGAAGCCAGCGCCCATCTGCCTCTCTGTGCTAATCAATAGAATTTTACAAACTATCCGGCATACGATCACAGGGCATCCCTGCAGGACTTAAGGGTCAAAGCCGAGGCCCCCTTAGTGTGCCTTCCGCCCTGCCTTCCAGCTCTGCCGGCCCGGCCCGGGGTTCTGACCACCCACTCCAGTGAGTGTGGTCTCTTTTTTTCCCCAAACACACATAGGTTCTTCCCACCTTCAAATGTAGCCTCAGTCCGTATTCCCTTGCCTGGAATGTCCTCATTCATTTCACAGGAATGTATTTAGCTCTCAATCTGAGCCAGAACCCTTGCTGGGTGTCAGGATACAAAGATAAAGTCAGGGTTTCTGCCTTGAAGGAGCCCCACAGTCTGGGAGCTTTTCCTGCCCACCCTGAAGCTTCACTGTCCCCACCAGCCCAGCCCAGCCCAGAGGAGGGACCACTCCTCTGAGTTCTGTGCCTCCCTTGTCCCATGTTATCCCTCAGGTCCTGACTCACAGTGTCTGCCTCCCAGATCCAGTTCCTCTGTCACACTAGACTGGCTTTATCTCCCCAGGAAGGTCATCCACTCCTTGAGGGCTGGGCCTGTGTATCACTCGGTTCCCCAGTCTCCAGAGTACTGGGCCTGGTGTCTGACGGGATCACTACAAAGCTCAGTATGCACCTCCCGTCCCCACGGCCTCACCATCATGTTCACACTCATGCAAGGGAAGCGAGGATGAGACGACCACTAAGAAAACATGAAGGGGCAGAAACGTCCTCAAGAGCCATATGGAGCCTTAGGGTACAGGAACCACGCGGAAGAAGCGGGGTCCTGTGCCTGCTAGACACAGACCAGTGGTCAGTAGTGGGATGTGCGGAGGTTTTGGAAACCGGGAGGAAATACCATCTCCCATTTCATCAGCCACACTGAGAATTGGCTTTATTCCCTACAAACACTGAGTGCTGGAGGACAGGAGAGACTCACACGTGTGCATGTGAGTATGCGTGTGTGTGTGTGCGTGTGTGTGTGTGTGTGTGAGCATCAGAGAGGCAGAGGTTTGGAGAAAGAGAAATACAGAGTGAAGCTAATGAAAGTCAGTGAATAATACCATTCGAAATGTCCAGGATAAGCATTTGGTTTTATTGGTAACATCGAAATCACCCGTGCCTTCTGTCCTCTGCAGCAGAAGCCATACTGACCAATCATTCTTTTTTTCTTTTTAAGTTAAAGTACAGTCGGTTACAAGGTGTCAGTTTCTGGTGTACAACACAATGTCCCAGTCATGCATACGCATACATGTACTTGCTTTTGTATGCATACATATATTCATGTTCTTTTTCATTAAAGGTTATTATAAGATATTGAACATAGTTCCCTGTGCTATACAGAAGAAATTTTTAAAAATTTTATTTTTATACACAGTGGCTAACATTTGTAAATCTCAGACTCCCAAATTTGTCTTGAGGTCTCTGACTCCACCACAAGTCTGTTCTGGGTCGTGGGGGCTCCTGTGAGAAAAGGTGCACGGGATCTAACATCCAAAGCTCATGGATCAGCTGAGGTCACACTTTCTCGAGTGTGAGGGCCTCGCTACCAGGACACTTGAGCTTTTGAGCTCTTCAGCGAATCCGAGTCCAATCACTGAAAAACATCTAAAGCGCCTGGAAGGAGGAGGAGACATGAAGCCTTTTATCCCCCGTCCCCCTTACACAGGCCCAGGTCACAGAGGCAGCCCTGACGCCCCGGGCCCCGCTCTGCTCGGTCGTCTTGCCCCGAGCGTGGTCTGAGCACACGACTTCTTGGTGGACTCACGGTTGTCCCAGGGTAACTGCAGCACACCGCCTGCCCTCGCTCCTGCTAGGGACCTACACTGAAATCCCTTTCCAGCTCTTCCTGGGGTTGCTGTTGTCACAGTGATTCCAGGTCCAAGAATTCCTCTCCCAGGAAGGCCTGGATTCCTCTGGGTCTCTCGGTTACTTGCCCGTGCACGGCCTGCGATCCTAATAGTCCTAATAGTCCCAGCGGGAGAGACGACTGACTTCCAAGCCCGTGTGCCCTAGAGCCGCGGTGTGACTCCCCGCGATCTAGGGAAGCTGTGAGGCTTTCAGTAGAGCTGTGGCTAAATTCCGGGTCTGAGATTAAAGCCGGCCATCCTCTGGGCTAGCTTATCTATTTGCATCTCTTCCAGTCAAGGGCTTCTAATACCCACGGCGAGTGCTGCTACTTGTCTTCAAGTGTTGCAAAGATCAACTCCGGACTCCGAGAGCGCTTTGCTCTGGTCTTCCGAGCCCTGCTCCATGGAACACCCAACGGATGTTAAGCTCTTCTTCTGTGCCAAGTACTATGCACGTACTTCACATACGCTGCCCACTGTAGCCCTTACCACCCGCCTGCAGAGGGGTGTTACCCTCTTCACAGATGAGGAACGTGAGGCTCAAAGACACCACGTGCCCCAGGCCACCCAAACGGTGAAGGTCAGAGCCCCAGCCTCTGCATTACTTGGGGGTTTCTTAGAGGCACGTTCCAATCATCGTCAGACACAGGGAGCATCCAAGTCCGTGCCCTGGGCCGTCCCTCTTTGTCCTGGAATCTCTAACCAGAATGGGCAGGAGGAATTAGGACTGATGCTCTGGGAGCTCAGAACCTAGGACCCGGCCCAGCTGACTCCTCCGGGAGCTCATTTCAGTTCAGTGTTTCTCAGCCCTTCCACCTCCACTTTATGATAATCATTTCCCTGGGAAGCCTGGAGTCCGGGTGACTTACACACACGTAGAGAGATAGAGAGATAGGTCCTGTCTACTGTAACCACCCCGTATCTCTTCATGAAGCCTAATGGTTTTCTAAGGAACAGGCAGGACAGAAGGCGGAGGCCCCCATTTACCGTTTAAGCAGCAAGAGATGAAAAACCGAAGCTGCTTGCCCGGCTTCTCGCCAGTTCAGGCTGAATGTGGTTCCAGGTCTAGGTTAAAGTTAAACCTGCGCTGAGTTTAATGGGCTTCCCAGGAAGCCACGCACCCGTCATTTGTTAAGTTTCCCTTAAAACAATGCTCTCTGGTTACCCCGCCCAGCCTCCCCCTTCCCCCACCTACCGGAACGTCCCGGAACACTGCCCTCACACCCCCCACACCCTGCACTGGCCTGAATGCTTGCTTGGGACGATCCCAGATGCCAAAGTTCTAAGTCAAAAGTCATGAGTGGGTTTGGAAATCCGAGGCAGCCAGGTCTCGTAAAGCGATGGGGAGGTGGGGCTGGGGCCAGAGTTAAGGCACCATCACCCCCAAGCAAAGAGGGAGGCTGCCAGCCCAGGGGGTGAGTAAAGCCTGAAATTTGAGGAAGGACAGGTGCATCCTCTTGTGACTAGGGCCTAATTAGGATGCCCCAATCCTAGGCCACCTCATGGCCTCAGGCAAGGATACAAGATGTATAAGAGGTGGGCAGGCTCAGAGCGTTCCAAACCCCTCGGCATCTCCACACTCCAGTCGCTGGTGAACTTGGGTAAGTCTGGCAAAGGAGCCCCCCTCCTTGCAGCCTTGCTCCACATGGTCCCAAACTCTGACTGGGAGCTGGGCTGAAGCTCTGGGTGGTTGGTCAGAAAGAAAGTCCTCGTTTGGGCATCTCTCTCTTCCTCATCATCTGGGACCACCCGATCGTGAGGGGCAAGTCAACCGCTGAAAGGTGTGGGAAGGCGGGCTGAGATGGGGCGGGAGGGTCTGCCAAAAGGCCACGTCTGAGGCTCCTGCCGGCATGTGTGGTGCGGGTGTTCTGTGTCTCCTGGTGCTGAGAGGGGCTCGGGAGGAGGATAGGGAGGCACCGGCTCAGGGTCGGAGCTGCCTTTAAGGGAAAGAGGAGCACAGGGAGAGAGGGGAGCTCCCCAGGGAGCAGGAGTGCAGAGGCCCCGGGGAGCTGAGCAGCAGCAGCAAGACGATGGGCGCAGGGGCAGGGTCCTGCTCCGGGAGTCGGGGACCACTGTTCCCACCGCCCTGTGCTGCGTGCCTGGGGGGTGACTGCCTCCCTCTCTGAGTTTTGCTTTCCTCAACTGTAATTAAGAGGCGAGCTAAAAGGTCCATTTTGTCTCCAGATTCCTCTTTTCTGTGAATTTTCTTAGAGAGTGGTTAAGATGCTCCTTGCTACCCTTTTAAAATTGCTAGGAATTGATTTACTAAGTTGAAACCCTTACACGGTGCTCATCATGCACTGGTACTCGTGGGTGGGTGGGTGTGCGAGTGTGTGTGCGCACATACACACACGTATTCACGGGTGTACATATTTATGTGTGTGTGTTTGTATGGATGGATTTTTACGTATTCATTTAATTCTTATGACAACTTTAAGAAAAATAAGTACAGAGGAGTTCTGTAACTTGCTCAGTCACACAGCTGGTTCATGGTTTAGCCAGGACTCAGATCCCAGGAAATCCTGTTTCAGATTCCATAGTTTTTGCCATAACAGTACCTTACTTTTTGTTCTCTTTCTCTCCATCTCTCCTTCTTTCTCTCCTCTCTCTTTGTACATTTCTCTTTGTTTTCTTCTGCCTCTCTCCCCTTCTCTTCTCCCTCTTCCTCCCTTCTTTCTCTCCTTCCTTTCTTGTTTTTTTGTCTCAAAAAGTTTGGAATAGCTTATAGCCTTGTAGCTACAACTTATACTCAAGCACACATGCACACACATTTACACACACACACTTCATATCGGTGAATCCACCAGGGCAAAGGAAAAGTGGGGCAGGTGTGAACGAGGCAGGAGGTTCTCCCAGATCAAGTCTCTCTAAGGCTCCAGCGTTCCTCACTCCCGTGTCTTTCTGTTTCCAGTACACATCCTGCCCAGAATGTCTCAGCAGAAGCAGAAGCAGTGCTGCCCCCCGCCCCAGCAGTGCTGCCCCCCACCCCAGCAGTACTGCCCCCCGCCCCAGCAGTGCTGCCCCCCGCCCCAGCAGTGCTGCCCCCCACCCCAGCAGACCAAGCAGCCTTGCCAGCCTCCACCCAAGTGCAAGGAGCCCTGTGCCCCCAAGTGCCAGCTGAAGTGCCCACCCCCTCAGCAGTGCCAGAAGTCCAAGCAGAAGTAAGCCCCGGGCCTGTGACCAGAGGCCAAGCCCCCGGGGGATCACAGCGCGTGGAGCCCGCTCCCCTCTCTATGCAGCCGTGGGCCCCACTCACCACCGGCTTCTGCGTGCGGCCGCACTCCGGGGAAAGGCAGCACCCAGACGGCAGCTTCCTGGATCGCTCCCTCTTGTTCATCAGCAGCTGCAATTTCCATCTCAGACAAGGATCTCATTCTAAGCTACCTAATTATCTTTGCTGACGTGTATCTACATTACCCTGTCGACTTCTTGGAAACTTGGCCCTGTGCCTGGACACCCTTTCCTGTCAACCTTCAATTCTGCTCCTATTTTCCAAACAATTAAACACAATCCCTCTGGCATTCATGTCTCAGTTTGATTATTTTGTTGTCTGGCAATTTAAAATTCCTGCAGGTTTTGTACCCCACTCCCCAGCCCAGAGCGCTGGGAGAGCTGGGCGTGTGGGCAGGCTGAGGAGGAGGCGTGGGGCAGAGGCACTCTGCAGCTGAAGGACATTTACACGGGTCCTGCTGGGGCAGGGAGGAGAGATGGGCGTCTCTGTGGCCTGGAGACACAGCCTACATCCATGGAAAATGAGAACACCACATGGGACCAGGGGAGAGGATGCCCATCTAGGAACACATGCCCAGACCGCCCCCCAAAAAATCATCCTTATCCTCATAGGCCCAGAAAGAGTAAGGGACTGCCCCGGCCAAGAGCTACATAATAGCCAAGAGCTACAAGAGCTACATACAAAGAAGAGGATTGAGGCAAATAAATTATAATTCAGAGAACACACTCCAAGCGTTTATGGGTCAAAAGGAATTGAGGATAGGGCCTTAAAAATTCTCCCATAAGTGAAAGAAAAGGCCAAAGTTTCTTCAGGCTAACCAAATGTGTAATTAGGGGACAGTCTCTGCGAGCATCATATATCCAACACACACACATCCACTGCCAATATTTTATCAAATCACAGCCCCTGTTATTTCTCCAGCTTGTGATTCTCCTGGGCTATTTTCCCTCTCACTGCCCTCCTGCTTCCAGCTCCCTAAATCCCTGGGATGTCAGGGTAACCAGGTAAGTCAGACCCATAACGAATCCAGACTTCCTGTTGCTATTGCTCCCACTACCCCAGCCCTTTCTACCAAACCCTTCCCTTACAAAACAGTCCGCAGACTGGGGTATCAGAACCTCCTCTCCTACACCTGACCCCCTTTTTGTGCCTCTGGGCTACAGAGGAGTCACTGAGAACCAGCAGAAGTACCTAAAAGAAGCCATAGGAAAACATAAGCTAAACATCTGGATTACCCGCAGCCTGTGCCACAGCCCCCGCCGAATGCAGAATCCGTTCCAGACTGAAGCTTCAGCAGAGCTTCCCCGCTTGGCTCATCTCTTCTTCCTCCATCCTACCTCTTTTCGTGCCTTTCAGCTATGCTCCATCCATCTGTTTATCCATCACCAATCCATCTATCGCATCCATCAGTCCATCAGGGCATCGTTTGTTAGCACCTCCCCCGCCCATTTGCTTAGAATGCATTGGATGCTGTGAAAACACAGATGCACACATGGGGCTCTGGGCCTCTTGGTTGAACAATCCCCACAAGAAGACCGAGCTGAGAGCTCCCAAGATAACAAAGAACAATTAGTGAGATGGCGTCTAATTAAAGGATGACTTGGGAGCCATGGGTACCTCCTTCATGCCCTCAGAATTCAGAGGAGACAGACAGAGAGAGAACCATGAGGGCTGCTGAGGGGCTGGAGGAGAACTTGGCCACCTTTGTCATCACGGCAGCTGCCCTGGGGCTCCCCAAAAATGTCTACTCCATAAGGAACACCTGGAGAAGATGGATTCCAAATAGAAGGACAGTGGGATTCGGGTAGGCAGGGAGGACGACATTCCAGGACTGGGTGCAGCCTGAGCCAGGGCTGTTCATGCCTGGTGGACCAAGGAGGGCCAGCCCTCCCGCGTCCCAGCCCCGGTCTTTAGTGGTGACAGTGAGGCCTCTGCAGCCACCCTCACCCGCTGAAAACCGCAGAAAGCTGGAGGGCGGCTCCAGTCTTGTGACCTGTGTCTCATAAACACCTCCCCCGTAGTGTTGCATTCAACAGAAGCTCAGGTATGACATACAAGAAGCATTGAGAAGCTGTATCAACCTTAACTGAACCCCCTGAAAACGAAGAGACCATGCCGAGCTTCCTGCACACTCAGAGGTCTCCTTCAGCCAACTTTCTGAATGTCTCCTCTCTTGACTCCCATACGCTCTCTCCCCTCAGATCTCTCGTTTGGGTTCTTACCCTCCCTCACTTAACCGCTTGACATGAGGTTTAATTCTACCTCTCTGGGCTCCATTTAATTTTCTCCTCCACTAATTATCATAATTAGCACGTATGCACATGTGCTCGTGTGCAGACCAGCTTGCTGATTTTTCTTTTATTCCCGTCGCACTGGGTTTGGATCCTGGAACCACCCTGATGCTGCGGTGAATCACAAAACTTCCCCAGGTCTCACTTTTCTCATCTGTGGAGTGGACAGAGTAATAGCTGGCTGCTGGGGCTGAAGGAGAGGGGTGCTCAACGAGACTGTAAATAAATAGAAGGCATCGCGTCACCCGTAGTAAGCGCTGAATGCTAGCTGCTGCTTTTACTCCGATTCTCCACTTTCTGCCAGAGCAGCAAGCTTAGAGGCAGGACCCACCGCTTATTCCTGCCAACTAGAGGACCTGAGCTTTAGACCTTTAGTGAGACAGGACACACCTTGGGGACAAGAGCAAAGACCGATTGCGTAGAGTGAAGGGTCTGTGAGGGGTTCACAGTGGGAGACGAGATCTTGTCTAGGGCATAATCACCCCATTTGGTGGTTGCCCTTTTCTTCCAGAATCTTCCCTGTTTTTTAACTGAAGTAGTTTACAATGTTGTGTCAATTTCTGGTGCACAGCATCGTATTTCAGTCTTACATATACACACACATATTCCTTTTCATATTCTTTTTCATTATAGGTTATAGTACAAGACATTAAATACAGTTCCCTGTGCTGTACAGTAGAAAATTCTTGTTTATCTATTTTATGTATAGTAGTATCTCCAAATCTCCAACTCCCAGTTTAGCCCTTCCCACTCCTTCCCCGCCTAAGGTTATTTCTGTCTGTGAGTCTGTTTCTGTTTTATAAATAAGTTCATTTGTATTTCTTTTTTAGATTCAACATATGAGTGATAGCATACTGTATTTTTCTTTCTCTTTCTGACTTACTTTACTTAGAATGACGATCTCTAGGTCCATCCATGTTGCTGCAAATAGCATCATTTTATTATTTTTTATAATTGAGTAGTATTCCATTGTGTAAATATACCACAACTTCTTTATCCAGTCATCTGTCGATAGACATTTAGGTTGTTTCCATGTCTCGGCTGTTGTAAATAGTGCTGCTGTGAACATTACAAAAGATACAAATCTTTTTGAATTGGAGTTCCCTTCAGATTTATACTCAGGAGTGGGATTGATGGATCATACGGTAAGTCTATTTTCAGTCTTTTGAGAAATCTCCATCCTGTTTTCCACAATGGCCGCACCAAACTACATTGCCACCAACACTGTAGGAGGGTTCCCTTTTCTCCACAGCCTCTCCAGCATTTACTGTTCATGGACTTCTTAGTGATGGCCATTCTGCCCGGTGTGAGGGGATACCTCGTCGTAGTCTGACAGATCCTGCTCTGGCCCACAGTGATTTTTCCCTGTCAGGTTGCACAGCCAGCTGTGTCTTTTGGAGGCAGCCTTTGCTCCCTGGAGGCAAGAGCTGAGGCCGATAAGCTGAGGACCCCTGTTCAGGAGCAGGGCCCTGACTGACACGGGGCGCAGGGCACACTGATGCCATCCTATTGATGCAGGCATTGCTATTCCTGTTAGAGACGGGGCTGAGCTGCAGAGAAGCTCCTCACCTGGGCTCACAGTGACAATAGCTTGTAGGTGGTAGAGTTAAGGTTTGAACTGAAGACCCTCAGCTCTCTGGTCCGTACTCTTTGTGACATGGCAAGTGCTCTGACGGTGTTACCAGCTAGAAAAAGCATAAAGACTGGAGACCATCCTTCCAGAACTTACAATCCACTGATCTGTTGGGCAGGCAGAGCCAGCATGTTCATGCTATCACACACGCACACGTGCTTACACAGGGATACAGGCTCATGCACGTTCACACACTCATATCAGTGACACCCACGGGGTTGTTATTCAGAGTAAACTCGTTAACTTTGGAGACTGACCATGACCACCAAGAGCAGAAGCTGGAGCGGCACCCCGGAGGCACCGGCTGTGACAGGCATTGTTCCCCTGGCTTCTCGGCGCTGGAGGACTGAGCTGGCGGCCGCCAGGGTGGTGGCACAGGCGCTGGTGGGCACAGGAGCTGGTGCAGTGGCTGCTTGCCCGCTGCTACAGACGTAGTTTTCACATTTTAACTCTGATTCAGCAACACCTGCACGTACCACTCTGCACCTGCTGGACATCAGCCCGGCGCTCACTCGCTCTTGCACACTCATGCTCATATTCCCACGTGCATACGTTCATGAGTCCTCACATGAGGCATGACTTACCCCACGCTGACACACAATCACACGCTGCCAATCACCCTGAAATACATATTCACACAGCAACACACAACCCTTGAACGCACCATCACGCATGCTCACACTGTAGTCTCGCGCAGGCACTTGGCCCCAGAGCAGAGAGTCCAGACCTCTCCCCAGGCCTCTGCAACATTCCAGCAGCGAATTGCCACTCAAGGACAGAAGCACAAAATCCCAAGAAGAAGGGTGTGATGCTGAGGGCTTGGAAGGAGCTGTGCCTCCCTCCGGGAGGAGTACGGGTATATATTCCAATAAATTCCCTGGGAAGTGGTACGGTGCAGAAAAGGACACACTCACCCTGGGGCCTGACAGACCTGGACTCGAACCCTGTCTTCCTTCTGTTTTATTGAGTAACCTTGGCCAGCCTCACCTTTCTAAGCTGTAAAATGAGACTAACTCAGACTTCCAGGCCTGCACTAGAAACTCAAAGGGAGTTGCTCACAGGTGGTAGTGGCCTGTCCTTCCCTCGGCCCTCCTCTACGTGGCCCCTGGGAAAGTGAGGGCATCTCAGTTGCCCAACTGCTGGGCACACATGCTGCGGGGCCCCAGGGGATCCCTGGCTGGCACTGGATTTCAGCAGAGAGGCTGCAGCTCTAGCCACCGGGCATCCTTTGTCGGGAGCCCTGTCTGTGGGTGCAGCCAGATGGGGTCCACTCTGCCTTCCCCTGCATGGGCCCCGGCTGCCTGGTGCCCCTAGGAATTGCAGACTCCCGGCACTGAAGATGTAGCGGGCTTGGCCTATCCCCAG